GAAAGAAGATCTGCTACTACTAAATCAGCAACACCACACCGTGCAGCATCTGCAAGGTCTCCCCTTCAAGCATTCACTCTATCTGAATCTGCTTAGCTTGAAAGAGCAAATGGGATCACCATGAAAGACAGCAAGGCTGCACTAATACAGTATCCTGTATCTTTGCTACCAGTCCTATGGAAGTATTCTATGGGCCAGATATTTAAAGGGATCTTGACATGGTCTCCTTTTTTGGAAGGCACAAGTCCTGCCATTTAGATGTCTACATACCTGATTTGCTAGGACATTTATATAGAAAGGTGTCTAAATGATAGCATTTGCAGACACTATTCAGTATTGGTGCAGAAACATGCCTATAAAAAGGAATCTGCATTGAGAATCCAGCCTGGGAATTCCCTCTATATTAGCCTGGGAAAAAGTACTTTGGAGTTAGCACATACAGGCTGTAGCTACACTAGACAAATCCAGAGCAGCTTCCAGGGAAGAGCAAAGGATATTAATAGAGATGAAGAGATAAATAATAAATAAAAATGAAGAGAGATGCACCTTTGAACAGGGAACTGGATGGGTGAGACAATATTAAACAGCAACTCAAACTATTTGGAGTCTTCTGCACTAAGTAGTGAAATAAAGCCAACTGTTCACAGTGGGGAAGTGTCTGCAGCTGAACCTATTTTCACTGAAAAGTCTCTCAGTCAGGCTGCTGCATAATTCATAATCTTGCCCATTGAGCATAGGAATGCTTTACAAATCTTAGATCCAATTTGTGTTATGTTTTATACTGGAGGGAGACAACAGTTGGATAACACAGACTGCCAAAAACCCAAGCAAACACATCTCACCTATCCTAGGAGGCACATCCAACAGACTTATAAAAATTTCTGAGGCACACAAAGAATGATCTGGAAAAAGGAGTAAACACTGAGGTGGCAAAATTTGCAGATGATACAAAACTACTCAAGATAGTTAAGTCCCAAGCAGACTGCAAAGAGCTACAAAAGGATCTTTTATGCCTGGGCAACAAAATGGCAGATTAAATTCAGTGTTGATAAATGCAGAGTAATGCACATTGGAAAACATAATCCCAACTATACATATAAAATGAAGGGGTCTAAATGATGTTACCACTCAGGAAAGATCTTGGAGTCATTGTGGAGAGTTCTCTGAAAACATCCACTCAATGTGCAGCGGCAGTCAAAAAAGTGAACAGAATGTTGGGAATCATTAAGAAAGGGATAGATAATAAGACAGAATATATCATATTGCCTCTATATAAATCCATGGTACGCCCACATCTTGAATACTGTGTGCAGATGTGGTCGCCCCATCTCAAAAAAGATATATTGGAATTGGAAAAGATTCAGAAAAGAGCAACAAAAATTATTAGGGGTATGGAACGGCTTCCGTATGAGGAGAGATTAATAAGACTGGGATTTTTTAGCTTGGAAAAGAATCAACTAAGGGAGTATATGGATAGAGGTCTATAAAATCATGACTGGTGTGAAGAAAGTAAATAAGTTTGTGGTATGAGGAGTAAATAACACTTCAACGAGGGGACACCGAATGAGATGAATAGGCAGCAGGTTTAAAACAAACAAAAGGAAGTATTTTTTCACACAACGCACAGTATACCTGTAGGATTCCTTGCCAGAGGCTGTTGTGAAGGCCAAGACTATACCAGGGTTCAAAAAAGAACTAGATAAATTCATGGAGGATAGGTCCATCAATGGCTATTAGCCAGGATGGGCAGGGATGGTGTCCCTAGCCTCTGTTTGCCAGAAGTTGGGAATGGGTGACAAGGTATGGATCACTGGATGATTACCTGTTCTGTTCATTCCCTCTGGGCCACCTGGCATTGGCCACTGTCAGAAGACAGGATACTGGGCTAGGTGGACCTTTGGTCTAACCCAGTATGGCTGTTCTTATGTTCTTAGAGAAGCATGATGGGATATATGATTTCATGCCATTCAGGGGGATATATGTTCCCTTGCTTTGGGATTGCCAATGATTGTCTAAGTACAGAGCAGAACCATGGCAAGATGATCTGCTATGGAGAAATTAATTTCTACATGCAAAGTATTTGGGAATCTGCTTTTTGTTTAAAACACTTTGATCAGCTCTATATTTGACCTTTGCTATCTTATTTCCACCTGACCCATCTCAGCATAGTTAGGGGATTGAATAAAAATACACAATAGCATCATGGTGGATGGACCTCAATTAGTAGTCTTGTTCAAAGTGGTAAAACTATTCCATTTGGTTTCTTGTTATAATTCCTTTATCCCTGAATACACTTATGTAGGCATCATTTAACTGTAATGAAAAATGTGGCCCAGTTTAACCTTGTTGGGGAAAAGAAATCTATAATTTCAAATGAAAAGCCCTGTTGTGATTTAACTGAGTTTCTCCATGAAATTATTGAAAGTTGACATTAAGCTGTTTGTCAAAGCGACACATTAAGTAACGTTAGGAGAATCAGTATTTTAGCTACTATAAAAAGGTTGACATTAAATCTAGTAACACTTGACTGATAACTAGATTAAAGCATTAACCTCTGTATTATCCATTTAAGTCACTGTGTTTGTTAAATAACCAGTAATGGATGAATGGTAGTGTCCCGTATTAGTACTGTTATTTTGGGTTAATAGATGGAACTCAGTTCATCTGAAGTTTTGTTAAACATATGATTGTTTTCATTGTGAAATGGCATAACTTCAGATTTTTGGTAGCTTCTTAAACATGAAGTTAATCAGGATCAAACCTACCACAGTTTATTTACACCTTGGGCCCAGCACATGGTTTAGCAAACAAGACTGATGTTAGACTTATAGCTATGTTATTGAATGAGGAAAACAGGTTTGCACTGATTGGTGTTCTCATGAATCCAACAGATACAAAACTCTGCCATTTCACTCCATTACCTTCCAAGCTCTGAGTCGCAAATGGCTTTTGAAATATCCTGCTGAAGCTTGAATTTATGTCTGGGATTTGTAACAAAAGGAGAATAAATTGTGGGAGATTAATAGAGTTTTTGCACCATGTTATCAGTTAGAATGTTTCATCTCCGTGTGACTTTTTCCAACCTTGTTTTCCACATGAAATTTTCACAAAGTCAAATATGGCACACTCCCTCCTCTCCACTTTTAGATGGAAAATAGACACTCTCTTAGGAGATATGTGGGATGAGTCAGCTACAAATAATATAGCACAATGACATCTGAAATACCCATGTACATTTAGGTAAGTGTTTACTGGTAATGTACTTAACTAGGTTTCTGTTGAACCTACGTAGGATTAGTGTTTTTAAAAAGGATTTTGCTCTGTTTTCAGTAGCCAGCCTAACTATTTTATAAAACTGGCTTTGGAGGACTCTTTCATAGTAAACGGGGCATTGTTCACATGCTATAAGTGAACCCACCGCATTCCTCCTACGATGAACCTGAATCTCGATTACATTTACGGTAGCTATTAGAGTTAGAGAGGAGGTTTGGTCAAAAACATTCAATCCAAATATTTTCCCCGATGCAAAACTGGGTTTTTAACAAAAACAAACAAACAAACAAACAAAAAAAAACAAAAATTAGTTGTGTCTGCTGTTCTCAAAAATGGATTTTTCATCAAAACCCCCAAAAAGTTTAGTTTTAATATTTTTTTTACCAATTTCTTTTTTCATTTTTGTCAGCACTTTCCACACTAAAAAATCCTGAAGTAGACAGACACCTAAGTTGCAGTAAGAGTACATGAAAGAGGGGGCTGTGAAGTGGCACAGAGAGAGCAGAAAAGCATACCTTTAGGAACCCTATGTCTATAACTACCGAGTAAAGCAATACCCCTCCTGCCCTAAAGTTATCTGACTATCAGTATGCTGGTTGTATCTGTATCTAAAA